AGGCAGGAGGAGGCAGGTGTGGGGATAGGCCTCGCAGAGCCCTGGACACCCAGGTAAGGAAGAGGAAAGGAGGGTCTGGAAGGAAAGACAGGAGAGCGACAGGGCAGGAGGGAAGGATGGGTGGATGTGCGAGATGCCTAGCAGGCTGGATCAGCAACCTGTGCTAACTGGGTGCGGGTGGAGGCAGGGGACCATGGAAGCTGACCCAGCTTTCCAGCCTGAATGAGTGAGTGGAGGTGGAGCTGCCCCCTGAGGGGGCACGGGAGGGGGTCTGGTTGGGATGCACTGAGTGGAAGATGCCATGGGACAGCCAGAGGGGATCCCCGCTGGGGAATACAGGGGCAGTTCTGGGTGGGAGAGAGGTGGCGGGGGCCAGGACAGCCTAATTAGGCACAGACTTGGGTTCCAGGGCCTCAGACAGACAGGAATCACTAAGGAAACCAAGACAATAGCCAGAGCTCAGCATGCAGGGGACTCCAAGTCCTGAGGGGCTGAGGTGGTGGTGGGATGTGGATGGGGTCGTGGCTGCACAGCCTGGCAAGCTGGAAAGCATCCTCAGCCCCCCGGGCCCGTGGGTGCTGGTGTGAGGGGCGCGTGCTGGCTTCAAGAGCCCTAAGTGTTGGCGGCAGCCTGCTACCTGCTCGGAGCTTGGCCACTGGCTGGCCCAGGGACAGCTGTCTCATCCACCCCCCTTACTCCCTTGCCCTCACTTGTTTCCAGCCAGGGTGTCTAGGGTCAGGCCTCCACCTGCTCTGGGTCTACCTCATGGACAAAGCTTCATGCCGACATAGGCCTGAGCAGGGTTAGCGCCCCAGCCTGGGCAAAGCCAAGCTCTAGGAAGGCCTTGGAGCTGCCTGGCAACTGAGCAAGGGCCCCTGTAAATGCAGAACAGACGTGAGGCATAGTGGTCCCAGCAGCCGGAGGCGTCCTTGCCTTGCTCTGCACTGCTGCAGGGTCATTCTGTCTTTGGTGGTCACTGATACCACGCATACCATGGTCCCCACCTTGAGCTCCTGCCATTTAGTTGGGGACATGAAAATACTAGTCACCAAACAGCATGACCTGCAGCCCTCAGAGACGGGCACACGACGCAGTCAAGATTCTAGCCTGTGACTCAGACAGCCTGGGTCCCAAGCCCGCCTCACCTCTTCTTGGGTGGCCTTGAGCAAGTTAACTTAACATCTCCGAGCTTCAGTTTCCTTGTCTATAAAATGGGAACAAGAAGGGCATTGACCTCATGTTTGCTGGGAGGATTAAATGACTTAAATATTCATAAAGCTCCAGGCAGGGTCTTTATTATAGTGTGAGCTACTGGACTACTAGAATGCAATCCCAAGCAGCTAAGACTCCCATAACGAAATATTTGCAAACCACGTCTCTGATACGGTTTAATATGTAGAATATATAAAGAACTCTTATGACTAAATATTTGCAAGTCATATATCTGATAACAGCTTAATATCCAGAATTTATAAAGAACTCCTGCAACTAAATGTTTGCAAATCATATATCTGAAAAGGGTTATGTCCAGAATATATAAAGAACAAGGGCTGTACATAGTAGATACTCAATAAATAAAAATCTGTTGGATGGATGAAGGGATGGATGGATGGGTGAGTGGATGGATGGATGGATGGATGAAGGTGTGGATGAGTGGATCAGTGAAGGAATGGATGATGAGTGGGTGAATGGATGAAGGGGTGGATGGAAGGATGGATGAAGGGGTGGGTGAGAGGATAGGTGAAGGAATGGATGATGAGTGGGTAAATGGAGGGATGAAGGGATAGTGGATAGATGGATGGATGGATAAAGGAATGGATGGATGGATGGGTAAAAGGATGGATGAGTGGAAAGGCGAAGGAATGGATGATGAGTGGGTGGATGGATGGATAAAGAGATGGATGAGTGGAGCTCTATCTACAACATATACCTCTACCTCTACCTAGCAGAGGCAGAGACATTTGAGCTGGGTCTCAAGGGATGAAGAACATTCTGCCAGATGGACAGCAGCAGTCCAGGAATAGAGAAGGGAGAAGGGTTTGCCATGGTTGAGAAATGGAGTGGCTCAGTCGCTGAGGCTGGGGCATAGGAGTGAGGTCCCCACTGGCTCACTCAGCAGGTGGCGATTCTGCTCCGCCTACCAAGGCTGCCCCCCACCCCGCCCCATCTTGGCTTGGGCTGAGAGGCCATCGGGCCTGCCATCAAAAGCCTTTATGAAGCTAGAGTTATATGGCAGACATTTTGCCGGCTACATGATAATACCTTCCCACTGAGGTTGAAAGATAATTTCTTTTTAATTGATTTTTTTACCACTACGAACAGTAAAATAATATGAGAAAAATCTACTTTGCAATTTTTCCATTTGTGAAAACCGAAATTACACTTTGCAGACAATTCCCCTGGAGCATGGACCACTCCCTCCTTCTACTTGTTTCATTTCTGTAAGTGCAAGAAAACAGGTACATATTTAATAGCTGAAAGTTTCATGATTTGGGAAGGGGCAAGGTGTGGAAAAATTCCGCACCAAACACAGAACACGGAGCCAGGGAGGGCACCTCAGATACAGGGAGATTTCTGTAAATATAGCAGAAAACGATTCTGTTGACACCTGATTCTTTGGTCTCTAAAATGTACGAGTGACAAACAGGACATGTTGTCTTAACACCAAACAGTGAAGTGCCACACTCTCCACTGCTCATCAGTGACGACGCTGGCAGGTGTTTTTTTTTGTAGGTTCTAATGACTCTCCCTGTTTTGAGCTCGAAGGCTTCACAGAAACAAGCTTTCACTCCAGATTCTGAGTCCGAGCCAGCTAGTGCTGTGTGGTTCCTCTTCCGGGGAGAGGCTGTGGCTCTGGAGCTATAAAATGCACCCTAAGCGGAGGGCTGTGGGGACCATGGTTCGGGGAACGTCTGGCTCAATTGGCATAACACAGTTTATAAAGACAATGCTCTACATTCTACCTTGGTGAGTAGTGTCCGGGGTCTTAAGGGCCTGTGAGCGGCCATCT